AAACACGTTTGTTAAATATGTGAGTTCACTCACATTGGAATGCCAGGAAGAGGTACAAATCTGAGGTCAAGATAATAATTTTTTAAAAAAATTCTTTGTCCTTGTGATGGAAACCTGACAACTGCCTGCAGCTGTGATCGAGTGTGTCATGCTCCTCTTCTCTCTGGAAAGCTCATAGGAAACAATGTTTTATATATATATATATATATATATATATATATATAAAAAACAGAAACAGCAGGATCAGAGCTAAAGGCTGAGTCCAAATGCATTCCTTCCAGAAAGAAGTTTCTTCAAATGATAGGCTTTCTGAGCTAAGAGCAAAGAGAATAAACTCTTCATTTGTATGTTATTAAAGTTTATTTTATTGAGTTACATTCAAAGCAATACATGCCTATTATATAAAATCAAAAAGTAATAAAAATCACCAAGTTCTCTTCTAAACTACCTTATCCCAAGCAATCAAAATACATACTTTTCTTCATTTGGATGCGTTTGTTAATTTCTGTTATTTATTATTTGCACAGTGGTGATTAAACCTTGTGCTCATTCCTCTGGTTTGATGCACCTTGACGCCCTTGTCATTTAAAGTTAATGTAAGTCATGTTCCATGTGTTTAAAAGGATAAAATATTGTAATAGTTGATCATTGTATTTTGAATTGAGTGCCAGTGAAGTATTCTAGCTTTTAGGTCATTCCAATTCTTTGCTAGTGACACAGTGATGTTAGATGATGCTATGAAAACACTCCGGGTCATTTCTGTGGATTTTGGTGAGGTCAGAGAAAATGCCTGTGCTTTTCAATGGAAAGCCTTGAGTACATGATTCCTGACTTCCCAATGCACAAAATAGAGAAACAAAACTTTCCTGCTCATGTTAGGTGGAGCATAAGAGATTCAGGTATGAGGAACAATTTATATCCCGAACTACATACAATGTCTTCATGCATGTATTAGAAGCGCAGTTCTCAAACTCTCTGATACCCACAGTTCTGAAGAAGCTCAAAGTTGGCTAATTCTTTTATATATGTATTTTTATTTGATTTTTTTACCTCAGCCAGCACTTCATCCTGATTCCTGGGGTTTTCTGCATTTGCAGTGAAGCCAGTGAACCACACAAATAGGCTGATTCTTCCCAAGCTCCAGCACTCTCCCTCATGTGCTGACTGAGTGAGGAATCAAATAGGAAGAGAGACCCATGGATTTCTGGCAGCCTGGGAAGTGAATCCATGGCTGACCTCAGCTTGCAAATCAGACACTGGTCTCCTTGTTTCCCTTTACTGTTCATTGAGTTCAGCAGCCATGTCCTTCCAGGTTTCCTGGACAGTGATGGGCCACAGTCTCCCGACTTCCAACCACCCACTCCTCAAAAAGAATAACCAGACTCAGCATCTTATGTGAGGGGCACAGTCAGGGGTCAGGATAGATTCGCATTTCGCATTAAGTCTCCTCCTCCAAGAGAGGCCAGGAAAGAGGCGTTGTTCCCCCTAATCTGTGTGGCTCAGGAAGCAGAGCTCTAGAGACATCGCCACCATGGCCTGCACCCCCTCCTCCTCACCCGCCTCAGTCGCTGCACAGGTGGCTGGAGACAGGGAGTCAGGGACTGGCACTGGGAGGGCCAGGGCTCTGCTTTGCTCCCCTGGCGCACTGAGCCATCTCCCTCACCCCGTGTCTCTCTCCTGACTCTCACAGTACTGGGCAATCAGGGCTCATTTGGTAGCCTGCACCGTCTATCTGTGGCTAAACCAGTTACCATCTCCTGCGCTGCAAGCAGCACAAATGAGATTCTTGGAATTGTGACCTGGTACCAACAATGACCAGGAAGTGCCTCCAAACTGCTGATTCACAGAAGTACATATCTGACTGCAGGGATCCAGGATGGATTCTCAGGCCACCAGTCTTGCAAGGAGGCCTTCCTAAGCATCTCTGGGCTTCAGTCTGAGGACAAGGCTGATCACTCCCATTGGCTTCAGACAGCCCCCTGGAGGTCCAAACAGTGCTGCAGTCTGGGGAAGGGAGATGGCAACACGCCAGGTCTCCTAGGAGCATGACCTTCCAACAGCACCACCCACAACCAGGACAGCTGTTCTGTTTACCATTTGCGTGGATGTTTCTTGGTGCTGCCGCTAACCAGGGCCCAAGACGCAGTTCAGGGACAGTGATCTAGAGAATACAGCTTTGTTCTCTCAGTGCCAGCCCCCAGAGGAGGCCCTTAGCAACAGCATTGTCAGACTGCCTCAAAAACATCAGAAAGTCTTTGATTCCAGGAACAGACTGCCCTGGAGACAGACACAAGATGAGTCAGGTTAAGCAGGGACAGAATCCAGCTGGGTCAGCCTCAGGCATGTGAACTAATGCAAAGGTCTGTTCATCTTTATTGTCCACTAAACACCTACTATGTGCCAGGCTCAGAAGAGGGCTCAGGATACAGAGTTTTGAGGACAGACAGGGTTCCTGTCTTTACAGGGATAATACCTCACAGAAGAGTGAGCACCAACAAGTCAAAGAAAATAGGGCATATTGTGAGGTATACAAGAGGTGACGTGGGCCAGCACACGGTGAGCAACAGGAAACCATTAGGAGGTTGTAAGGAAGGAAGACACAGACTCTGGTTTGAGATTCAGGAGGAAAAGTCCAGCTTCTCCAAGGAAAATGAAAAAGGAGGGGACAAAGTGAAGGCAGATGGTCCAGTTAGGACATGGTGGCTTTGTACACATGAGAGATGAGGTCTCTGGCAAGTAATGTGGCAGCTGAGCAGGGACGAATGTGTGTGACCCACACCATGGTGAGAAGGACTAGAGGAAAGAGGCGAATGGTTAAGGCCCTGAGCTTGTCCTTGTGATGGAAACCTGACAACTGCCTGCAGCTGTGATCGAGTGTGTCATGCTCCTCTTCTCTCTGGAAAGCTCATAGGACTCAGCACTCATTGCTGCCCTTCCCTGCTATTCAATAAGATTAATGTGAACCATCACTCTTCACACCTGAAAAGAGACCGGTTTACTTTCTATTGAGCAAAAGCCCCAAGGGTCAGGACAGAGCATTGCAGAGCATGTGGGATGATCCCCTACACATCCAAGGGGCTGCTGCTGTTAAAACTCACGATGAAACCTCCCAGAGCTCTGTCAGAAACCATGAGAGCCGAGGTGTCAGTGCTGAAGTAGCTGATTTGGGAGCACACTGATTTGTGGTCTGTGCAGGTACAGGAGTCTGAGGACTGAGGCCCAGCACAGGCAAAAGGCTCCCAAGCTGTCATTATGGGGCAGAGTCCTTGTGGCCTCCTCAGTGATGGGGGGTAAGGGTGGGTAAAGGTCAATGAAAAAGCTAGAGAGCAGTGGAAAGGCAGGATTCTGTGTCTGGGCAAGGAAAGGAGGTCCAGCCCCCACCCAGGCATCCTTATTCATCCTTCTCTTTACCTTCCTTCCTCCCTGCCACCTTCCCAGGGCAGACTTCCAGGGCTGTGGTGTCTCTGCTACTCTTTCTCCATCACAAACAGAGCAGTGGGGAGGTTATGTGATGACAAAGCTATCTCCTCACACTCAGCTGTCTAGTTACCCTGGGGAATTCCTCTGAAGGATGGGAATGCTCTGTTTGACCTCTGACCTACAGTAAGATCCCAGCCATTTGTGAGGCCAAGATGAATGACCACATTCTGTTTACACGGGATTATTTATAACACACATAGTCGAATAAAACCATCAAGTTCTGCAGAAGTCAATCCATTCTTCAGAATTATAGAAATGCAGGTCTCTCAGTTGTCAGCAACAGGCTTTAAATCCCAGGGTGACTAACTGGTTAGGGTGGGATCAGCCACATGAAAATGTTTCTTTACAGCTAGTGACTCTATTCTCTGTGTTTCCCCTGCTGAGATTTCAGCTCCATGAGATTGTTCATTGTAGTTGCTGCTATTTTCTGTCTTGTCATTGCTGTAGCTACAGAGCCCATAACACTGCCTGGCACTAACGACAGACTCAAAACACGTTTGTTAAATATGTGAGTTCACTCACATTGGAATGCCAGGAAGAGGTACAAATCTGAGGTCAAGATAATAATTTTTTAAAAAAATTCTGGAAATTTTGTGTTTGAGATTCAAAGTTCATTCAACAGAAGATATTAAGTGAGAACATTTTCCTTCGGATTTGGTTAGCAGGACAAGGATATGAATATGAAAATACAAATATATCACACATATCTCCCCATGGCCCAGGGACTTGAGATCCCAGCTGGTCTCTGCAGCTGCCCATCACGGCCTCTGTTCACTCATTTATGGTCTGATTCCCATGAATCCATAGATGCTGGATCCCATGGGTTCCTGTGGAGGAAGTGGAGAGGGCGTGATGGGCTTTCCCAGTCCTGCTTAAAGAAACCACAGGAAGCCAGTAGATCATAAAGCAAATTCGGGGGACAGAAATCCCTTGAGAGCAAATAAACTGCAGAATATGGGTGAGTTGGAAAAATGTCTGGTAATGTTTATACAACTAAGAAACTTTACATTAGCAATCCTTCAACACAATATTCATTACAGAACTTCAAATCAGCCATGTGATCAATGCAATTCAAACATTAAACTCATCAACAAGAAGTCCCATAATTGGCTTTGTTGAGGAAACTTTTGAAGGAAGAATGATGGGTTTATGAGCTCTGTGTCCACAGAAGAGATATTTCTGCACTAGGAGGACTGGATAAAGTCAATAAATAATTAGGAATGTAGGTGCCCATCTGGAATTTACTATATTCCAATATGCAATGCTGTGAGTCCTGCATCTGCAAATCTTAACATTCATTGTGCTTCCTTCAATTTTCCACTTATTACAATAAATTAACTTTAGATATGGATGATCAAAAAATAAATCAATTAATGTGAGAATCCTTGAAATCTGTTGCTTTAATGCACAAAAATTAGGGAACATTTCAAAGGTATATATTTGTTGATTTATGTACCAATGATAAAATACCTTTTCGTTGATCTGTTGTAGAAATCACCTAGCAAGGGGGTAAGTTGCTGGGAAACAGGTGTTGAAAAGTTAAACAACATGAACCACACTGATGATGGTCAAAGTTGGCTGAAGGGTACAAACAATTCATTAGAAAATTATGAGTATGTTTTCTGACTCAAAAATTTCCATGCTAACCAGTGTTGGAAATATCCTTGTTTGTAATGAGATGTTTATGTTCTGCTTTTAACAGGTGTACAATGTGGACAAAATGTAAGCTTACACTGTGACTCCAAGTAGAAGCCCATCTTCTCCAAACAGGCAGAGGAGAAGCTGGTGTGGAGAACGTGGAAAAGACAGGAGCTCAGGGTTTCCCAGGACAGAGAAGCGAGTGAGTCCGGAGCCCTAAAAGTAAGAGGAGGGGCTGTGAGTTGGGCTGTGGGGGTGTGCAGGGGCCACAGTGTGAAGGGCAGGCTGTGGAGGTCCCAGGGCTCAGGTTTTATAAAAATGAGGAGTTACTGAAGGGGTTTAAGTCAAGGAGTGCCCTCCCTGCCCCATCTGAAGGAGCAGGATCTCTCTGAATGCCCTGAGGAGGAGTGCCTGAGGGAAGTGAGTGATCCTGATTCTAGATTTTTCACTAACGCACCTTGAGTCTAGAAATCCAGGGACCATTTGCACAGTTACACAACAGTAGACGCGGCTACTTTGAGAAGTGATGGTCTCTGCCCTTGTCTTCTCACTTGCAAGACAACTTTGAGGGAAAAATACATACTGATCTTTCTAATAAACTGAAAACATCCCATCAAAAAATACATGTTTCAACATCACAATACAAATTGTATAACATCTAGGACAAATTCTTGACCAAAAAATATAACACAACTGTGTAGACAATGACAAGTTTTACTTAGGGAGATAATGGCTAACTTCATAAAATAGAGAAATACGTCACACTGCTCACTGGTAAAAGTAAGTCTACCAAATCTATTAATTTTCCTTCATTACTAAATTGAGTCAAATCTCCATAAAACACACTGTATATATAACTTTTGCTGAATTGCTGCCTTCAACATATCATGGATCCTTTAGTTTTCCTGGAAAACTCTCATTTTCACCATCCTTTAAAAGAGTCCCTAGCTCTTTAAAAAAGAAGCAGTCTCTAGTAATCAGACCACGGATATGTGAACACTATCAGTGACTGCAGAGCTGCAGAGACCAGCTGGATTCTGAAGTCTCTGAGCCACGGGAAAGTCTGTGTCCTGGGACCAGCATTGGATGTTGTGGAGCTGCCCAGTTCTTGCTACACGGCTGCTCAGTAAGGACCATTCACTCAGAGAAATCCAGCCCTTGGGACTGGGCCCTGTGTTCACCAATGGGGACTCAGCAGCTGTGTCCCCTCTGGCCTGGCAGAGATCCCTGAGCAGGGACCTGTGTATGGTCTCAACAGGTGCTTCCTCCCAGGGCCTTGCAAGAAGAAAAGCAAACCTTCCTCCTGCTCAGTCTGCAGAGTGAGCTGAGCTGCATCCCCAGGGCTCAGGGAGGGGCTGGGCAGTCCCTGGGTGGAAACACATTTGCATGAGCAGCCCCTCCTCTGCAGAGGGTGGGAAGAAAAGGAGGCCTGGGGCAGCCCAGTCCCACTGCAGGGAAAGAGGCTGTGTCCACCATGGCCTGGACTCCTCTCCTCCTCCTGCTCCTCTCTCACTGCACAGGTAGGAAAAGGCCTCAGAGACCAGGGCCAGCACCCAGCCTGATTGTGACTCTTCTGGCAAAAATCCCTGAACAACTTTAGCCTGCTTTCTGCCATATCACCCATTAATGCCTGTGTTTGCAGGTTCCCTCTCCCAGCCTGTGCTGACCCAGCCAACCTCCCTCTCAGCATCTCTGGGAGCATCAGCCAGACTCACCTGCACCTTGAGCAGTGGCATCAATGTTGGTAGTTACAGCATATACTGGTACCAGCAGAAGCCAGGGAGTCCTCCCCGGTATCTTCTGTACTACTACTCAGACTCAAGTAAGCACCAGGGCTCTGGAGTCCCCAGCCGCTTCTCTGGATCCAAAGATGCTTCAGCCAATGCAGGGCTTTTACTGATCTCTGGGCTGCAGTCTGACGATGAGGCTGACTATTACTGTGCCATATGGCACAGCAGTGCTTCTCACAGTGACACACACACATGGGGAAGTGGGACAAAATCTCAGCCTGCTCTCACTCTTGTTCTGTGACAACTTTCAAATTGAAAAAATAACTTTTCTGTTTAGAAACTATATTTGGAATTACTTTCTTGTGGTAACAGGCTTTTCTCTCAATTTCCCATTCATTGTTTTTGAAATCCCAGTAACACAAAAACAAAACCAAGCCACCTGATGACACTAAAATGTTGGCTGATTGTCCAGATGTGTTCAAACCAGTGCCTGAGGAGCTGGACCTTTTTCTGCTGAAAGAAGCAAAATGAGCCTTTTCTAGCTCATATTGTAGTCAGAACTTGGGAACATTCTAGCAGGTAAACAGTCTCCTGCCTCATGGATTCTGCTTTTCCAGGGTTCAAACCAGAGACTTGCCCTTCCATTTCCAGTAGCCTGTGCTCAGGGCTGTCCACGGTTCACTGTGTCCCAGGAACAAAGCATGAAAATGTAAAATTCTTCATGAGGACACAGGTCAGGGAGGAATTCCCCATAAAACTGGCCTGTCAGTGCTGGGTACCTGCATTTTCAGTTTCAATGTCAGAAGAGTAGATGAGGTGTGGGGCTAATTGGATCTGAGGGCAGCAAAACTCTTTGTAGGACATGAGTGAGTAAATGGTTGGGGGGTGGCGGGTACCAGCACGGCTTAGACAAAGCTGAGGCTGCTCCTGAGCCGTTGGTAGAAGGAGGTCCCATGGATGTGACTTTCCTCCAGCTCATCCCACTCAGAATCATGGGGACTGTTGAGGGAGGGTTTCCTGATCCCTTGGGGCATGACCGTGTTCACATGTCTTCTCTTACACCATTAGAGCTTTTCACTGAGTCAGGGTCTAGTTGGTGCAACCTCTGGATACAGAAACTGCCCAATATTTGCTTCAAGTGACTCCTCCCCATGAAACTCTCGAGGAGGTCCACATCTCGATGTCAAATTCCTGCATGGGGAGCAGCAGAAGCATTGGGCAGTCCCATGGAAATGGCTACTGAGGCTCCCAGAGACAGCACCTATATTTGTGACCCAGGACAACAGTGATGGACCTACAGGGGTCCCAGCCTGATTCTCCTGCTCTGGGTTCATCCACATTGCCTGCTTGACCAGCTCTGGGCTCCAGGCTGAGGACAAATGTGATTATAAGCATCCCACAGCTGCATCCAGACTCCATCTCACCAAAAACTCCTAATCCATGGAGAAGTGAGAGAAAGATTTGTCCCCAACTCCTCCTGTCTTCCCCATCCCTCCTTTATCCCTGCCTGTTGCCAACTCCAGTTCATGCCAAGGCTTCTGCTGTCACTTGTGTTACTGAAAGTGGAGCATCAGTTCAATGAAAAGAACTCGTTTGCTTACTGGTGCTCCAATGCAAACAGAATCGATTTGTTTCTAGAAGCAAAAGGAGCAGGCCACACATGGTGTGGATGAGGTGGGGGTGACAAGAAAGAAGAATCCAGCCTGTGTGACCCAGAGATGCAGGTGCCCCTGCCTGGTCCTATAGGTGTCTTCTGTTGGCGCAGGCATGGTGGCCATTTCCTGAGCTCTGAGACTGCTTGGGAGATGACAAGAAAGGAGAACCCATCCTGTGTGACCCAGAGACCCATATGTGAGAATGAAAGTCCAATACTTAAGGAAACATAGAATCAGCATTCTGAAAGCTCTGGCTCTGTCTTGGCCTTTGGCTGATGTAGAAGAGAAGCAAGAGAGATGCTCAGCCTTGGGTGGCCCAGGCACAACTGTCCTGAAAAGGGTCTGAGCTCTCTGCAATGTGGGCTTTCTGCAATAATATGCTTATGGAGGCTACAATCCAAGTATGATGCAAAAGAAGCTATTTAAAGTGAGCAGGGGATGGTTTGCGGGGGAATGAGGCAAAAGGTGTGGGGTCAGATGTGGTAAGGAGGGTGCAGCCTGGAGAAGAGATCGTCTTTGGGAGCCTTATGAGGAGGAGTCCCAAGGCCCAGAGCAGTGACAAATAGAAGACGTGGAAGGATCTGGGCCCTGGAGACACAGACGTACAGGGGCTTGGGTCTGTTCTGGAGGGTCCCTGAAGAGGATGACATTAAAAAACTATGGTCACTGGCCTCTGTCCAATGCTCCCAGTCCCAGCTTCTGTCCCTTCCAGAGCTTCTGGGTGTCCAGGTCTCTTCCCTGAATTTGTTTTCTCAGCACCAGCCCCCAGGAGCAGCTTCACCTTCCGTGCCCAGAGTGGGGCTTACACAGCTGAGTATGAAAGACAAGATTTACAAGAAAGTATCTGCCCATTGTGTAGGGGGTGGGTGTGCAATTGTGGGCATTTGAGCTCCTCTAGGGACCTGAAAGAGCAGAGGTGCTCCCCAAGACCTGGACTCCTTACTTTCCCCTCCTCCCATCGCTCTCCTCACTGCAGCTACAGCCAGGTGAGGGCTCAGGGCTACTTGAGGACCCAGCACAGCCCAGGGCCTCCATCCCACGCATTGTCTCCAAACTCTGTAAGGGTTATCTCTGAAACTGCAGAAACATAGATTTCTATGTGCCCAGGACAGGGTTAGAGGACACTGACCCCATTTCTTGCAAGCTGCTCATCAGCTCTCAGGGCCCCAGTGAAGAGAAGAAAGAGTTAGAAATCAGGAATCGACCCAGGGCTCCCCTCTCTCTTCTCTCCCAGCCACCATCTGGCTTCTTCTAGCCACAGAAATAAAGAGGAGGTGGCCAAAAAAGGCAAGGGGAGTGCTAGGCAATATCAAAGGCAGCAGAGCCAAGCAGTCACCCCGGATGGTGTGAGGAGGTGGTGGAGGTGTCTGGAACCAGGGAATAGTGCGGACCCTCTTACTAAAGTGAGGAGGGGTGGCAAAAACGGAGGCCTAGATGGTTAACCAGATCTCCTGAGCCATTTACTCATTTTTTCTTCTGTTGCAGCTTGGGTAAGAATAGGACAAAAAAATTCTTTGAGGCGGTTTTTTTCTTCAGCTAAGAATCCTTAGAGGATTAACTCAGGAGTTAAGGGGAGACTGAGCCTCGCTCTCAGGCCAAAAGAATTTGTAGCTTTCAAGGGAATTGGATAGGATTGAAGTTCCCAGATTTTGGCATCTAAGACCTAAGTCCCCTTAGCCAAGCCCAGCACTGGCACCAAAGTGGAAGATGGCTGATAGATAAGTCTAGAAAGGCCTAGATGAAATAATCCTGGGGCTTAATCCTAAATCTAGAAAGAGAGCAGGTTTTATGGTATAAAGCAGAATGATGATTAGATCTTAAATCTTAAGAC